ATTTAAAGTCTAAAAACTGACAATGATGAATTCATTGTTAGAATTACATACAAAATAAATAATTTAAATTTTCTGCATTGAAAATCAACACTGATTAATTTATTGTTACAATTAAATTGTTAGAGTTTTTGGCTTCAAAATCCAACAATAAACAATTCATTGATATAATCTCTTTTTTTGCAATTTTCACCATTCAAACTCTAATTGCAACAATAAAATACTTCACAGAATTACCTAAATTGTTAACATTTTCACCATTAAAAATGTAACTGACAATGATGAATTAATTGTTAGAATTATACTTAATTCGAATTTTGTGGATTAAAAATCTGCATTAATTTATTGTTACAATTACTTACAATTTTAGCATTTTTGGTTTCAAAATTGAACGACTAACAATTCATTTATAGAATTACTTTAACAGTTAAAATTTGTAACTTAATTGTCTTGCTATTCAAAGTCTAAACAGCAATGATGAATTAATCGGCATTCAAGATTAAACATAATGGTAAGTTCACCGTATGTATGAGTTACATTTTTGGAATTTTCTAAATCAAACTGACATCAGTGAATTCATTGCTTAAGGTCTTTGCACACGGAGTCCAAAAATTTCATCCGAAATTTTTGCACGTAAAAAAAATAAAATACGACCTCATGTTGTGTCAGTCACATTTACACACTGACCAGATTCGATTTTCTGTGTTTTCGCATCCGTAGCAAGCATTTTGATAGGAAAAACGCATACGAAAATTTCAATGTGCAAGGACCTTTAGGATTTCTTAAATTGTTAGAATTTTCACCATTCAAAATCTAACCGACAGTAATAACGTCCTCGTAATATTTGCACACTACACCACGACTGGTCTACTTTCTTGCATTCGACTGCTTTCAGAAATCATTTTAACTAGTTGAAGGCCAAGATGGTAAAGAGCACCACTAGCTGCTCAACCTCCTGCTAGGGCACAAATTAAGACATATCAACCAACGTCACATGTTTAGAGCAAGCACCAAACATCCCCTCTCGCTTTGACTCAATCAAGAGAGACCCTTAACCCCCCAATTATCCTGAAATGTGTCCCAAAAACATCTTTTCACACAAATGATGTACTTTGCTAATATCTGATCAGGCAGATGTTTAGGATGTGACATGGTTTTTTGGCCACGTGTGGTTTAGGGGGCACAGAAGGGCAAATGACGTGGGCTGTGCCACTGTCGGGCTTGTTAAAGGGCCCTTTGCCTGTCACAGGTATCTCCTATTGTCCGTCTGCCAAAACGCCATGCACATCATGCCATCTTGTTTGAAAATTACACCCTTCACAGCAAACAAGCTTCTTGTGGGAATGGATACTCTGTCAGCGCTGGTTTGCATGGGGAACGTGTAGCACTGGCCGTTGTATAGATCATCGTGTCAAATAGAATTAGAAATGGTATCAACCAACGTCACATGTTTAGAGCAAGCACCAAACATCCCCTCTCACTTTGACTCAATCAAGAGAGACCCTTAACCCCCCAATTATCCTGAAATGTGTCCCAAAAACATCTTTTCACACAAATGATGTACTTTGCTAATATCTGATCAGGCAGATGTTTAGGATGTGACATGGTTTTTTGGCCACGTGTGGTTTAGGGGGCACAGAAGGGCAAATGACGTGGGCTGTGCCACTGTCGGGCTTGTTAAAGGGCCCTTTGCCTGTCACAGGTATCTCCTATTGTCCGTCTGCCAAAACGCCATGCACATCATGCCATCTTGTTTGAAAATTACACCCTTCACAGCAAACAAGCTTCTTGTGGGAATGGATACTCTGTCAGCGCTGGTTTGCATGGGGAACGTGTAGCACTGGCCGTTGTATAGATCATCGTGTCAAATAGAATTAGAAATGTAGCTTTATCATTTGAATCATCTGTGTTTTAATACAATTGCTCTTGTTGTAAATGGTGGCTATTTCACTGTGACACTGATGAGACGATAATGAGCACAGTGGGTGCTGTTGTGTGCACCATGTTTTCGGGAACACTGTTTATCGCTGCAGATACACACATAACCATGCAAATGATCCGTAGATAAAGTTAAATCGGGTAAATTCACTAAATGTTCTTACAAGTGGCTATATGTAAAAACACTTTTTTTTTTAAATGATGATGCTAAATACAAATAGTTTTTATTTGTAGTTAATTGTCGCTTTTTAAGCTACTCTACATTGCTCACTTCTTAGAAAACTTGGCGGAAATTTTAAACATTGTTGTATTTGCATCATTATACCACTAGATAAAGTGTCATAACTAATATAGACAATCTTGCAGCATGCTAACAACCATTTAAAGTATCTTTAAAATATAAATCCTTCCAAAAATTTACCATTTTCAAGTTTTCCCCCTTAAAACAAATACTGTGTCTTCCTGACAGATTTTTTTTATAAAATATATGTAAATAAAAAATAAAATAAATAAAAATAGCAATGATTTAATATCTCAATTATTTCTCCAAGACCCATATGAGATTACATATAACACAAACCCGTATGACAAAAAAAGAACAAAAAGAAATATATATATATTCTAAATATTTTTGAATATATTTCAAAATATACAAAAACATCTAAACTATTATATATCTAAAATATATTTTCGCCATGTTTGTATGTTTTTGCATATTTAAAACATGTAAATGTATTTTTAAAACCATTGTTAAATATTTTTTTCCTCCATATATTTTGATCCAAGAAAAGACATTCACATTTGCCATGTCTGAAGAAGCTATACTGTAAGACTGTAAATGTATTTTCTTGCCCCTGAAATACATTCTGAAATAAATTTTGGTTTATGAAGGTTAAAACTAATTATATTTTAAATATATATTTCATACTTCATTGAGCTTCACTATTTGTATTTGTATAGAAATATTCGGTCTATTTTGTCTATTAGGTATATTCAAAGAAACATCAGAAACACTATTGATATTTAGATAAAACATAATTGAGAACTCCATTAAGCTTTATTAATATGAAAGCGAAGCCTCTGAGAACTAAACATTTCCTCTATAGGCAGAATGAGCGTTACCATTATACAGTCGTGTTTGGTTTTACATGCAGATAACCGGTAAATGTCACTATGTTCCTGAGACCATCCAGAGACGCCACACTCGGCCCCTCAGGCTGCACACCCTGTCACTAACTGTCCCGCGGCCTGACAGGCAGCAGAGGAGCGCACAGCACCATTCATCCCTCAACCCAACCCGACTGAGATACATGTGCATACATAATTACAATAATAAAGCACAATAGTCATTTATATGTTGACACCAAAACAATATATATTTTATCAGAATGGAAATAAATGCCGTTTGGTTCCAGATGGTGTAGTTTCATTGTCTACCATCAGGGGCTGCTAATACAGGGGGATTAACACTGCAATTTAAATTTAAAGGAATAATCAAAAATGAAGAGTTGCAGAAAACATACTCAGACCATCAAGGGTATAGATAAGTATGTTTCTTCATCAGAACAGATTTGGAGAAATATAGCATTGCATCACTTGCTTAGCAATGGATCCTCTGCAGTGAATGGGTGCCGTCAGAATGAGAGTCCAAACAGCTGACAAAAACATCGCAATAATCCACAAGGATCCATAATCCTACATTCATAATAACGCTTCTTCGTATTCTGATGGCACCCATTCACCTTTTCAACTTCTACAAATCTGATGAAGAAACAAACTCATCTATACATCTTGGATGGCCAGAGTAAATTTTCAGCCATTTTATTTATTTTTGGGTGAACCATTCCTCTAAGTAGTTTTTGTTTGTTTATTTGTATTTTTTTTAATCACTACTCAATTGATATCTAAATAAAATGACACCTGCCTTTCAGAGGTATGATGAGGTTACTGTTGCAAGAGTAGTTTCCTCATTAAATAATTAATAATGACAGCTCTTCAGCCAGAAAATTAGTCAACGTGGACGTTCAATGCAAGCCATTTCGCCTGAAGACATTAGTGCGCTATGTAAAAGCATTGTAAGCTTTCAGTAGAAGGATTTCCAAAATCAAAGTAAACATTTTTTTTATGAATATTTAAAGTAAAGTAAAGCTGCCTTTAGATGTAGATTGATAAAAGCCTGTTTATTATTACTTTTATTTACTTTTTATTATTACTTTCATTTCCAAATTACAGACAAGGACACACATCTGCAAGTCTGGTTTCTAAACCATTGTTCTCAGCATGGTTGTTGATAGTCGTTTGAAAGCCTCCTGTGGTGAAACATGGAACAACAATACAAATATGTCTTGTCTGTCCTAAAACATATTGCATTCATTTTTTGTCTCAAGCAATTCCCACAACATACATTTTTAATTACATTTTAATATTTAATGTTGCATTATATATTAAACTGGTGCTTCTTTTTTTCTTTTTAGAAAAGACGAATATAAAACTAACAAACATCAACTGCTAAGCAGCAAATCACAAAAAGGAATAGATATGCCATGCATTAATATTAAACCTACATAAACCTGATATTTATTTCAGAAGATGGTTATGCAAATACACCTAAGCCTTATTGTTGGACAGAAACATGCATGCTCTAATGGCCCCTAGAGGACGCAACACGACTACTAACTGCTTTATATAATACCATGAACTGCAGATAGGAATTTATTTAAATATATCTAACAATGCATTTTAATAATTGAATAATTTGTATAACAATCATATTTCTAATTGTTTTTTATAATTTTATATAATATAATTACAATATTATAAAATAACAAAATGTATATGTAATGTTTTAATATATCAGAATGTTTATATGAATCATGTTATGCATTGTATTATTAAAAATGTATAATATATAATACATTCAATATAATAATAATAATAATAATAATAGTGTATAAAATAATACATGCATATATGTAATTTAATTTTATGAAATTATTTAAAATATGTATATTTTATATTTACAGTGAAACTACAGTGTTGCTGAACTCGCAATGCGCGTGCGCTCGTGTTCTCACGCTCGGATCAGTCCGAGTTAAACTGGAGTCTCATCTGTCCACGCTGAGCGGCTTCACTATGAACACACATGGTATTTACTAACAGCCTGTGCAGCGCAGAGCGTCTGTTTTCAAAGGTAAACCGTTTGTTTGGGTTATAATGCTGTTTTATTGCCGCTCGGTTTGATGAGAGTGGCTTTTATCGGCCGGTGTTGTACTACTGTCGCGTCCGTGCTTGAAAACAACTCAGATGAAAGTCTATTGATCTTACCGAAGTCTGATAAAGCCTTGCTTTGGGAGTGTTTATTTTGTCTAGACGCTAGAATAACTGACAGTCTTGTTTTTAAACATAGCCGGTTTACAACTAAAAGTTGTGTGTAAATACACTCTATGTGACTTTAGTTGCAACACATGTGAAGGCGATTGATGTTGCCGTTGGAGTCTTTTATCATTTATATTTACATCAAGAGCTCAAATAATGCCGCATTATGTATCTAAACTGAATTGTATCAGTCATATGTCTGTTTGAGAACTCTTGCATGTAAATAAATCCATCCCGGATCACGTTCAGCTTCCCAAATGAACATTTTGCCATGATGACTACTTTATTTAAATGTATTCATATTTGTGAAAAGTGACTTATTTTCAGAATGGAAATGAGAAGGTAAATAGTGCTTTAGTTTCAGTGCACTAGGCCATTTGCTGGTAGTTCCCATGAGACATGAGTTTCGTGTTGAAACCTTGAACTTCAGAAGGACATGATGCATTGTGGTCACCAGCCTACTTCCTTACCTTCTTTCAGGGCGCAAGGTGTGGCCCACGCCGGTTTCCACTTGAGTCTGCCGCTCTTGTGTTTAGCTACCTAATATCAAACACTTCACCGTGCCCTTGAATCCTCATATCGCATTCAAGGTGTTGCCAGAAGTCACTGGATTAGATGTTCTTTATGCATTGTACTAAAATAAATTCACCAGAGGTAGTGGTCCAGCGGAAACCATGCGTTTCTGTTTCTGAAACCCTCCAGTGAGAACTAATGAACCGCAGTCACACTGACATGTGTAACCTCAGAAAGAGGAGAATTGTGTCGGAGACACTTTGAGATGAGCCTTACATCATTACATTTTGCTTGTCAAAATGTTGGAGGGTTAAGTGAAGCGTTGAACTGTGACATTTGAGCATGTTTTGCAGACTGCTGATTTGTATTGCGTGTATGCAATGCTCTATTAGATCATCTGGGAAGAAAGTAACATGTTGTAGCCTGTCATCTAATAGGTTATGGGTTCTCTCTCTCTTTTCTTGTTGCTTCTAGAAATACTGTGTAGTTTAAAAGTGTTGTGAGTCACTCTCTTTGCACAGGCGGCTGGAAATGAGCTGTCATCAGCAAAAATTCAAATCTGGCTCATTTTCGACCTTTTAAAGTTTGGCGGGCAGCTCTGCAAGATGGTTAGCGTTTCTCTGTAGTTCTGTAAAGTTGTTGGTCTTCTATTTTTCATTATGGTGGATCTGATGAAAAGTTTGTGACATTAAGATGCCAAACGTTCCAGACGCTCTTGAATTCTTCACACCTCGCACCTTTCCTTTGGTGTCCAGAGTTGAACTCAGAGTTGAAAAGGGGGGGGGGGGGGGAGAGGGCGGAGGTTTTTTCAC